TAAAAGCCCTATTGATTGATGCAGAGTTCGCTAATCCATCTGTCCCCATCCATTATTCCAGGTATAATTTTTCATTATCTGGATGGCAGCTGATTCCTAGCACATTAGTATACAGTGGCAATTACCAGGAGCAGAAAGAGCCCCTAAATTAGCAGGAACAATAACACCTGTCAGGAAGGGGAAGCAAGAACCCCCCGCACAGCACGCCGTGTACTCTGGGACCAGGTCTGAATTGCAGAGCATTTGAAGATAGATTCGATGGTGACCTTGTAAATAGAGGGGAGAAAGTCTGTGTTTTGTTGCTTTTCTGGGGGGTGGAGAGTGCACATTCCCTGAAGGTAACATCATTGTTCGCCAGATCGCAGCCTCCCTGACAGCGGGCTGTAGATACTCTACTAACTAACATTGCCCTGTCCAGGGTCAGTGGGGTTTGGGGGACAGATGTTCCTACCTGCATTATGCAATGGCCACAAGGGACTTGACCAGAGGGGACATTATTTAAGGTGTAAGTATCGGCAGAAAGGAGTGGGGAAGGAGAGAATTGGGGGAGAGAGCCTCCTAAGAACCCTGTCATTTGTGTGGGGTGAGGAAAGCCAGTAGGGAAAGGTCCCTCTCCGTACACCAGTTCTGTGACATGAAGGTTCTTGTCTTTTCACAAAATGCGGCTCCTTTTCTACCCCAATGGAGGAAATGGAGACATATGGCTAAAATAACTCTGCGGGTCCTTGGAGGGACTACATTGGTAACATTCTCCCTGAGTTTTGGTGTCCAAACACCAAGAATCCAATCTATTGAGTTCTCAAGGGAACTGTTGTGCATCATGATGTATTCTCAAGCCAACCTCACACAGACAAACCCAGTGGGGTGAAACTGGCCAGCGAAATTCTCAGAACTCAGTAAACTTTTGAAGATGGAGGAGGAAGGTTCTAGTCTTCAGAACCAAAGGATTGCCATTGGAGTCCTGGCTTTAACCAATCATTCAAAACAGGTATATATTCTCATTAATTCATAAGACAAACCACCTTCAGCTATTCACCTAAGTTAGAGCCCAGCAAACTATAGCCTATGAGCCAAATCTGGCCGCTGCCTGTGTTTGTAAATAAAGTTTTATTGGCACACAGCCACGCCCATTGGTTGGCACATGGGCCGTGGCTGGTCTGGCCCTGTAATGGCAGGATTGGGAAGTTGCAACAGAGACCACACTTCCTGCGAAACCTAAAATATTTACTCTCTGCCCCTTTATGGCCAGACTACAGGGATTTACACAGATGAAGGAAGGACGGCTGGCGTTTGGAGAGGACTACATAACAGGGCAGATGATTGACACGGAACCACTTCTCACACGTTGTTCTGTTCTCTTCTTAGTAGCCGACCTCCCAAAGAAAGGAAATGAGCGGAGGCATCCTTATGGATTTCTGTCTTCCAAACTGCTTCTTACAAGTGTCATTCTTGCCACACGTCAAAAGTCCTGATCCTTGTTCAGCCATCATGAGTATGGGGTCTGTGGGATCGTCTTGTAGCCATTGACGTTTTGTGCATGAGCCCAGGGGCCCATTAAGACCTATGGGCCAGGCATTGAAGCAGAAGGCTGTTTGCCTTGCAAAGGCAGTATGTGAGGAGTAGTCAGATGTTTGCCTCTAGCCAGTTTTATGACCAGAATGTGGCCACAGATGGGTTAGTTTGGCGTTAGATATTTTATTTTCTCTGAGGCCCTGGAGCAGAGAATTGCCTTCCATCCTGGATCTGCCAAGTGATGATGGGAAAGTCACTTTACTCCTCAGCATCAGGCTCCTCGTTGGTCAGGCAGGTGAAAAAGTGCAGGATGCTGATGGATTAAACTGATCATGTGTGAAGACTTAGCAAGGCGCCTGGCATAGAGAAGTCTTTCCAGAAAGCATAGCCATTCTATTATTGTCATATTTTTACCCAGATGATCTGGCTGGCTATTAACCCATATATCATTTCTGCCAAATTTTAGTTTGGTAAGTTCTATGGAGGAATTTCACACCAAAGTCAGAAGAAGGGCCTCCAGAACAAGGCACACCTTGGGATTATATCTTTCTCCCTGTTCCCTTCATTTTTATATTCTACTTTTCAACTATAAATGTAATGTGTCCCATAGCTACAGTTGTAAGGGACTGTGTTAGAGCATGTGTGGGGCTAGGGGTGGATGTAAAGATGATGACACCCTTTCTTAAGGAGCTTCAGGGACTTATGAGGACCTCAAGCAAAGGGCTAATCTTCTGTTCTGAGAGTCATCAGTGAGGGAGGGGGGCCCTTGAGCCAACTATTTCTCCCCCAGGCTTCAGTTTCTTACATCTATCAGACTGGGAGAATCAATGCTTTCCCATCCTAACCCACAGGGGGAATGGGAGGCAGTCAAACATCTAAGATGTGGCTGGTCTTGGAACTCCTCTCTTCCAAGGACTTTATCACTGAATATATTCAACGCAACAGAATTCCCATAGTAGGAAGACGAGAGGTCAAAATCTGGCAGTGCCCTATGCCTCCCATGGTCCTGCAGATGTTGGGGAAAGGACGGCACAGAGCTCTGCTCTTGAAAGGGCTCTCAGTGCCTCCGGCTAGGCCTCACCTGGAAGTTCAACCAGCCCCTGCTGCTCCTCTTGGCTCACCCACTCAGGGTATTCTTTTATATCACTAGCCTCCATAAGTTGAATTCGCCTGACCTACAAGATGGAGGGTTTAGCCCAAGAAACAAAGACTCAGTTCTTGCCATGGGAGTTGGGGTGTAACCTGCCAACAAACACCTGAGAAGCTTTTTGCATGGACCCAGAGCACTTCCCAAGGGATCTATCTGTGGAGGGGATGATGAGGCTCAAGAGCCTGCCTCCACGAATGTTCTTCTCCAGGAATGTAGATTAGAGAGGTGCCAGCCTCAGTCTTGGGAGAAAAGGAGACCAAGACTGAGATTAAAGAAGGTCAGAGCAAAGCCAGATGAATGAAATCTGAGCTCAGAATCATATACTACTGCTCTTATTACGAGCTTTGGAGCCAATAGACCCTATGTGATCCAGGGAACTTACACAAACTGGCCCACATAGTTTTCACTTCCATGACCGATGCTGACAGTATCTACCTTTGAGAGTTGTTATCAGGAATAAATGGGATCATGCACATCTGACAATTGCTACAACTTGTTGAGCATGCCTGAGATAATCATCACCACCATCATCACCATCATCACTCTCATCATCTCCACATTCATCACCATCATCACCACCACCATCATCATCACCACCGCCATCATCCCCATCCCCATCATCACCACCACCACCATCATCCCCATCCCCATCATCATCACCATCACCATCATCCCCATCACCACCACCATCGCCATCATCACTATCACACCACCATCATCGTCACCATCATCATTGTCACCATCATCACCATCACCATCACCATCATCATCATCACTCACCATCAGCATCCTTTTCAACCCTTCCTCTGCCAACAAGGTCTCGGTTGGGTGTTGGGGAAGCTGCTGAATAGTTAGGGATTACTGGAGCTGGTGGGCACTCCATTGTTGGTGAGACAGAGGGTGGTTCCTGCGGCATAACTAGCTATCAGTTCCATTGCAAAGCTGACTTGGCAGTCTTAGATGAGAAAGTAAACTGGCCCAAAGGCTTATAGCAGGTGCCACAACTTGGGCATAGGTGTATGTTAAGCCATCGTCCAGAACGAGCAGTGAATGCTGCCACTTTAAAAACTGGGCACTAGAGCAGCTCCAGGTGGGCACCATGGCTGAGCTGGTCAGAACTAACACTGCTTGGCATGCAGGAGGTGCTCAGTAACTGGTTCTCGAACCAGTGGATAAAAGAATAAATAAGGGGAAGTCCGTGACTTCCATGTACCAAATCCATGTGCCTTCTCCAGTTTTCCTAGTGGTGCTTATCCTGTGGGCTCGGGACGGGAATCCCTCACGACAAACAGAAATATCCCGGATGATGGGCAAACCGGAGGAGAAAGCCTGTTTTCTGATCATGCCAACTTTGAATCATTTATTAGCCATTCCCCCCACGAGGATCATATTCAGTAGAGAGGTAACATCTGTTTGCGAGACTGTGTCCTTGGGAGATCGCCAGAAAAATCTTCTACTCTGAGATCCTCCACACTGGGACACACACACGTGCTGTTCTCACCCACCCCCGCCCCCCCGCCCTGGGACCTGCTGGGTCCCTCTGGGGTGATAGGTGGGCCTCTGCAGATGGACACCAGCAGTGGAGAGATGCAGGTGCTTAAACACCCAGGTGCAAGAACACAACAGGGCAAACGGGCACTTGGGTGGGGCAAGACGCTGCTGCGTGCAGGGCTCGGTGCGGAGCCCCCGGGACCTTTACGGCCTGGCTCCTCAGGTAGGGTTCTATCTGACTGGAGGAGGACAAGGCCTCTGCACGTGGCTTTTACGGACCAGTGGAGTCTGCTGAGGTTGCCCCCAGTGTCCGTGTTCTAGGAAGGTAGTGACAGATGTGTTGTCAGGAGGAAAAGAGCCTCAGGTAGAGGACCGCAAGTGGGAGCCTTTCCTACCACCCCAGCGATCCAAGTACCCCTGAGTCTGCCGGGGGGTGTCAACCCACGTTCACTGTCCCCCACCTTCCCAACAAATCCTGGGCCGTCCTGGCTCCTCCTGCGTCAGGCCAAATGCGCTGCTGCTTAGAGGTGCTGCCCCTCACCCAGGTGGGAGGAGGGGTGACAGGGGCTGGAGGAATGCGTCAGCCAGAGCCTTCCTGGGCCAGGTGGCGGGCTCGGCAGGTAGGTGCGAGAAAGGACACAGCTGCCCGCGGGCCCGGTCACAGCTGGGGGACCCAGAGAGGCCGGGGCTGGGGCCTCGCTTCCTGGACTTCAGGTGACAACAGCGCTGGTAGCCAGGGCACCTGGGGAAGGAGAGACCTGAGTTGGCAGGAACAGGGCCCTGCCCCTGCTGGGCTCCTCTGCTCACACCCTGGTCTCACGGCTGCCCCCCACTTCCTCTCTTCCAGGTCTGGCTGTTCATCAGATCATCACCATCACTGTCTCCCTCATCATGGTCATAGCTGCTCTGATTACAACTCTTGTCTTAAAAAACTGGTAAGGCTCCTCGGCCCCTCTGGCCTGGAAATGGGGGGGTCCCCTGGGAAGTGTGCACAGAGGCTTTCCTACTTTTCAAACCTGGTCCCACATCACTGAGTTTTCATTTGGGTCAGAGAACCTGGTGCTACACCCTGCTCCCCGTTGGCCCCGGGGCAGCCCGGCCGGCCACGGGTGCTGGCTCCCAGATACAGCCCTTGGGGAGTGTCCCCCCTCACCGTGGTTTTCTCTGCAGAATACGGGCGAGCCCAGCCTCCGTGATGGTTTCTCAGGTGGCAGCTGTCCCTGTCTGTCTCTGCCCTCATGTGTAAATTGCGATGTCACCCACCCGACACTGGTGGCCTGGGCAGATCTGTGCCCACCCCTCGCTGCCCCTGGCTGTCCAGGCTCAGCCGCCTTGAATCCTTCCTTCTTCTTGCCGCCGCTCTGTGTCTGCTGAACTAGGTTACTGCCTTGCTCCAGGCCGCCTGCCTTTGCCTGTTTCCTCCTGGAAATTGGCCTACTTTGAGGTTGGCCTTGCTGGGTGTATGCACCTGCTACACCCCTGGGAAAATCGGGGCACTGCCGGGTGACCCTGCTGAACACACACCTCCGAGGCCCTGTGTGCCTGCAGCCTCTCCTCCAGCAAATGTGTCTCCTTTTAGCATCAGAGCTCAAAGTCCCTGGTAGAGTAACACACCCAGATAATCCCCCTGCTGCCGGCAGGTGCAGGAAATCCTACAGGGCTTATGGGTGGCAGCCGCCCCCGAGTGTCCAGACAACGGAAATTCGAGAGAAAGCCCGTCTCCAGGGTCAGCAAAGGTGGGAAGGAGGGGCTTGGCACAACCCCCAAAACCGACCTCGCGGAGAACAGTGAGGCTTCCCGAAGGCTGGCAAACCCTAGACCCCAGGCGTTTTCTAGGACTGGTGATGAGGACCGCACTCAGCTCGCCACAGGGCAGTCCTGGGCAGAGGATGGCTGGCCAGAGAAGGGACTCTGGAGCCCAGGAGCACATGGGTGCATGGCAGGGCAAATCCCATCGACCCTCTTGACTGCCCCCAAAGGAGGCAGGACTCTGTCACCTGCCGTGTGACAAACAGGCCAGCTCCCTCTTGGTTTCCCACAGTGGGGTTTACAGCAAAGCCTCAGAGAGTCCTTCTGGGGAGGACAACAACCCAGGCCGTGGATGAGGGGGTTCCGTGACCTTGGTGGGGGAGTCCCTTGGCTTTTGCAATTTTCTTCCTACCTTTGCTTATAGGGTGGGGCTTCTGCATCGGGAAGCAGGGCTCCTCTTGTTGGGAAACCGAGACAGGGCATGGCCGTGATGGTCTTACGGACACTCGCCCCTCAAAGCCACTTCTTCCGCATTGGCTGTGAGCACAGCGGGGATGGGGAGATGGGGCACTGGTGCCCTGATGAGGTTCCTCCAGCTGGGGGCTCCCCAAATTTCCTCCTAGCTGCCCTCCTCCGTGGGGATGGGGCTTCTACTCATCCTTCTTGTGACTTGCCAGAAGTGACTGAGAGGGCCACCAATTGTCTTCTGGGTCAGACACCTTGGCTGACAAGGGAGGGATGGCCATGTCCATCCTTGACAGTGTTGGGAAGGCTCTGTGGACCAGAGGAGGAGGGAAGTATCCATGGGGAGTGCGGAACAGTCCTCTCCGTAGACCTGGTGGCGGCAGTGAAGGATGGACGACCAGCTTTCATCCCCAACTGGGAGCTTGGGTGGGGGCAGGGCTGAAGGCACAAGGCTCCCCGTTCACTAATTCTCCCCAGAGATAGTCACATCGTCCCTTCCAGAACGAACCAGCAGACCAGCCCTACCTGTACCCATTCGTGGGGAAACTGCATCCACACCATTGCCTGGGTGACGTCCTTTGGCCAGACAGGGCCTCAGCTCTGGGATAACCCAGCTCAGCCACTTACCTCATAAGCGGCCCTGCCATAATGGCCACATTTACAATTCAGATTTTATTAACGACAACAGCAACAAAAAAAAAAAGAGAGCAAGCTGATTGTTTGATTGTGGTTGATCTTTCCGAAGAGGCTGGAAATTACCATTTAATATTAAATGACGAATAATTAATGCCTGGAGAGGAAGGTTCCACAGTTTAGGCGCTGGGTTTGGGCGCCGGCCCGCCCCGCCCCCACGTCGCCTTGGCTCTCTTCCAGCTGTGCCCAAAGCGGGAACACGCGCAGGACCAGCCACCAGCGGAAGGTCAACCAGCAGGAGGAGAGCTGCCAGAACTTGACGGACTTCACCCCTGCCCGGGTGCCCAGCAGCCTGGACGTCTTCACGGCCTACAACGAGACCCTCCAGTGCTCCCACGAGTGTGTGCGGACGGCTGTGCCCATGTACGCAGACGAGACGCTGCATCCGACGGGGGAGTACAAGTCCACGTTTAACGGGAACCGGTGAGCTCAGGCCTGGGCCGGTGCCTGCCGCCTCCACGGGCTCCTGGCGGGACGGTGTCGTCACAGGGGCCGTGGGTCTGTGTGGGGCAGCTGTCATGTGTCTTTGGGGGGGGGG